TCGAGGGCTACCTGGATCAGATCGATGCGGTCAGTTGGTCGGTTGGTATAAATATGTTAAAAAGGATAGCTGCTTAAATGACAGCTTTATAGATAACTGAAGCGAATGGAGGCAAAAGACCACCCTCTGCAGCCGATTTACCTCTGAGGCGCGAAGCAGCTACAAACCGACTGTTAGTGGAAATTGCGCAGTTTGCTGCATTTCCCCACTTAGTTTGGGCCATATGGTGTTTTAAGCAAGCTGAGGACTTCCCAATTGATGCTTCTGAGCACGACTTCTACGAAGACGGATTTGATCGTATGGCTCTGTATTACAAGCGAAAGTCGGATATGCTGAGATATTTAAAACGAGAATAACTCAAAGCTGGTTCTGTGCAAATTTATTGTCTTATTCGCCATATTATGCTCTGCACACTCTGACGTTCTAAAAAATAAGTATACTTTGTGTATAATGAACTTTATCAGGATGTGATCTTGTCGTATGGACGCCGATTTAGCTAGAACATTCATTATGAGAAGCTGCATAAGTGGCAAAAAAGAGTAAATAAAGACTCTATCAAAATGTTTTTAGAGACGGTAGAGGTTGTGCATAGAAACAAAAGTTATTCCTTATTTGTAGCACAGCCGTTGTAAATGCTCCCAAGGAAGAGTAATCCCCCTGGACAGAGAGCAAAGAAACTTAGTATTAAAGCGTTATGGGAATTAAGTTCTTCAAGAGAACAAGATTTTAATTCTTTATTAAATGATTTGGTTAAACGGCAGAATGCACGAGCGACCCTATCTCATATAGTGCAGAAATGGAGTTTGGGCAGTAGCCTTCCAGTCGCGCCCACGAAGCTCGCAAATCAAAATCTTCAGTATTCACAAGTCCCACATAGTGTGGACTCGTCTTAATCACGAGTGTTTTGTAATAATATAAAAGGAAGAGCAGTGTAAGTAAATAAAAACATTTCACCAGTGATTCTCGGAAAATGAGGAGCATCAGAAAACGAAAAATTGTAATTTATCTTTATGTGTGTAGAGAAAGAATTGTTAACTAATCTCATTTGTAGCGCGAGTAGGTGAGTTCCGCACATATTCGTTTGACTTTCTTGATTCTTTCTTCTTTTTCTTTTAATATTTCCACGGATGTCGCAAGTAGTACTGTCCGTTTATGGCATCGGTCGTTTCCAGTACTCAACTTTTTGCATGTTACATATCCTGAAATAAGTGAAAAAGCAATGGGATTTCTTGAAGTGGTTAAGCAATCTAATCTTCAAAGAATGATTGGAACTTTGGCAAATGGCCGTGAAAATTTTCAGTTGTATAAGACTATTTTGTTTAAAGAGAAAACAATAGTTTTGATTTTAGCGGGGTCCAGTATACACTCAGGAAAGCCAAGTAGAACGAATTGAAAAAACCAATAAAAGCTAATTACGGCAACAATTGGTCTGCAACATCACGCATCACTTTTGCAGTATGCTGGTAGCCAACAGTTTCCGGTAATGCACAAGACATTTCAACCAGTAAAGAATCTGATAATGGTTTCAGCACATTTGGCTCGTAATTGCCAGTTTTTTCTGTTTTTGTTATGTTACTTATTAGAATCTGTAAAGCACCAGTAAAATTTTGGAAAATCTCTCTTGCCAAATTGTATTTCGAACAAGATAGCTCTAGCGAGTCGTAAAGAAGAAACCTAGCGTAGAATACCTTGATGCTGCCTTTCGTAAATAGCTGTCCTTTCGCTATGTACTCGTAATCCATTCTAAAGAGTTGAGCAGCACATTTAAGCTTAACGAAGAAGAAAGAGCAGTATAAAGACGTGATATTCGAAAAGGCATTACGTCCTATGCGTCAGTTGCCAATTAAGAGCAGAAAAATTAGAAAAAACTGTTTCGCTTTTCAAATAAGATGGAACTCACCTCAAACCCAACGTTTTTACAAATTCCATCATGTTATGCGAAAAAACTAAGGACGATATCGACTTCCTAACTATTGTAGAGCATAAGTTATCTGGCTCTGGTGAACCAATGTACCGGAAATGCCATAAATAACTATTCGCATCTGAACCAAATTTTCGCCTAAGTCGAATTGTTACGTCCGGGTCTTGTCCTGTTCCTGTGAATTTAGTGGCTTTGCACTATTTGTATGCAAATATTGAAAAATAGTTTAACTGAAACGTGTATTTCAAGTATACTGCCTCAGTAAAAAATAACGGAGGCAGCACAAAAAAATACGTGAAAATGATTATACGAGGAAGTTAATACTAAGCATAAGGTGCCCAAAGATACAGAATAATACGTTAAGGAATAAATGATGTACAGACAAAGCAGAAAGAAATTAAATTCTTCAAACCTACTCAAACTAAAAACCATTTCGTGCTCGCTAAATTCTACTGACCCTGGGTCGCAAAGACCTCGTAACCTCTGGATCAGCTCGTCCTTATTCTTCTTGAAAACGCTACCATACAGAACCAACTCCTTAAAACTGATTCACTGGTAAAGCAATAGGCGAAGATCATGTTGAACAAAGCAAACTGAAAAACAAATTCGCAACAAAAAACTGGCGGCTTTTTCAAGGAAAACCTTACTTGCGTTTGATAACAGTCAACAGACGGTTCAAGCTTTGCTACTATCGGAACATCATTCTCTACACTATAAAGCTCTCGTAACTCATCCATCCAACAAGATAAATATTTTCTTCTCAACTTTTCAAACTAACTGAAAAGCAGTAACTATATTTGATAGAAGATGAAACGAATTCCCAGAAACCTCTTGATGTCTCGTCTACCTTTTTTATACATAAATAGTTTTTACATTAATTTGGAGCAATCGAAGAAAATATAGGCAAAAATAAGTGAAACAAGAACAATATTCAAACAGCAAGCGAAATACAACCAGTTATGATGATTCTAGCGAATTGGTTTTACAATAAACGGACTATTTTCATTGACTACGCATAAAACGAAAAAAAAGGAAACAGAAAACCCTCTGAAACAATGCTTAAAGCTTCTACTGCACAGCAGTATCAGCTTAATAGTCATACTTTCTTTTTATTGCAGTACAATTCTTCGGAATGCTCGTCCACCAATAAATGA